TTCAGAAAAACAAGGAATTTAATAGTGTAATAAAATGCAAAAAAACCTAATATTAGAGAAAAGTAAACTTTTTCTTATCAATAGTGTGAATGATCACATTGACCGCGATATTTCATGCACTGCTTTTTCTTATTAATATTAATAACAAATTATATCATGTAAGAATTTCGATATTTTATATGTGAGCTCGCAGACATATCCACGATTATGATAACTTTCGGTAATCTTGTGACTTTTCTGTTAATAATTTTATTCTACATACAAGAATTTTATTCTACATATAAGATTGCTTCTTTTGGTCCTTGAAATGTTAGCTCAAATATTTGCTTTTCTACACCTAAATAGTCTAGTAAATTCGGGAAAACTATTAAAGAAGACGAAAATCTGAAATAAGTGGCAGACTCATTTCTGAATGACTGAACAATCATTATACTTCTTTTTTTCTGATCTGCAGATGAATCTAAATCTATGTATCCTCTCCAGAAATCCAACAGTCATTTTTTAATATTATAATAAAAGAAAAACAAATATTAAAATGTAAAATAACATCTCCAACATCTTACTGTTTCAATTTTGAGAGAATTTAACTGGAATTTTCAAAGATAGAATCGAAACTCTATTTCGGTTACCCATTAGAGAAAACGGTTTTTAATCGGTAAATCTGCATATGATTAATTAATTCATGGACTAATTGATAAAATAACATGATTTAATCTTAAGTACCGATTTTTCTTCATCTGCTCTTTAAATAAAAGAAGTAAAAAATAAGCCCGACGACCTGCTAACAGCAAGTGGTATCGATTGCGCATTCTCATTGTCTACATAAAAGCCTGCCGATGCTTGTACCACACTGCAACAATAAATCGATATGAATGGCACTATCAGAAGCAGCAGAATGTTGTAGTCCATCTGAAAATCAAATAACTCAAAAATCATTAAAAAACGAACGGATTCAGCGCTCAGCAAAGTCACGAAATTTGTGGTGATTTACAATTGAATTGTGTCATTTCTGATTTAAATAATTGATTTCACTAATTTAATTATCACTAATATGGTGTTTTATCCATACAGATAATAGCTTTGTCGAGAAAAAAAAACATTCTTCTTTCCAGATAAGATCTTTCTTTTCAATTAATAGCATAATCAGAAACAGAGGTCAATATATGCCATCGTTAGAGGAGAAAAAAACTTTGGCACGTACTTAACGAAAGAAAACTTAATTACCGAAATTCTCATTGCATGCCACAACAACTATATTGGATGACATATTAAAAGTCCTCATATTTTCCAGTAATTTTACAACCTTTCTTTTTGAAATTCCTTCTTATTTCTTTTTTTTAGAATTTGCATAATTGAGCAGCACCTTCCAGAATTTAATAACCTTTTATTTTCTCACTGACGATGCATTTCCAATAAAGAACACGACACCACCATGACCTCCGACCCGAGAACTGTATAAAGCGAACATTTGAATCCTGCAAAACATTCTCAAGTCGCCACATATGCTGCAATAGTTGCGTGAGCGTCTTATAATTCACTCACGGACTACTGTATTTGCTTCTAGATTGTTCTCGAATTATGGAGGCGGGGGAGTCAGAGATGTGTACAGACATTTTGGAATGCAGTTTTGATTTTATGGTAGATGGAGAGGTCAGTTATGCTCGGTGGGAGTTACAAATTCCGCGACATTTCGGGGTGGGAGAAAATTCTCGATGTTTTTTGCCGAATATCCGCCTACTTAGTAGAGTCGAGAACTTATGATATTAATGTTCGGATAATTTGTTGTTCGAATTGCTTATTGACTTCTTCCAATAGCAACTTATGACATTTTCTCAACCAAAACTCTCTGATATTTCACGTTTACCCATGTGCTCTTTCTCTTCCGGTACCATAACAGGACAGGACAGTCACTGAAGACTATATTAAAAAGAATCTATGCAATCAATAGTTATTGATAGATCTTCTGTGATATATATTCACAATGTCTATGGGTTCGGTGATGCAGAATGGTAAAGTGTGCTAGATGGATGCTTATAAATGACCCGTAATATTCCCATTATAGTAAGGCATTCGAAAGATAGCACTCTGTAAGCAAAGCATTTCTTTGATTAGCAACTTTTATTGAAGTAGGATGACATATTAAATATAGCAAAGTATTGATTTTTGTATTATTTGTGCGGTGATCTTTTAGTTTTATCAGTTTCACATAATTTATAATTCCCAGGCGACGTAAGCAACAATAAACGAGTTGATAGTGAAACGCAGTGTTCTTGGTGAACAGTATGGCAGAGGTAGTTTATCTTCCTGATTATAATTGTGGAACAAACTTTTCTTTAGTGAAAGATGCTTTAAATAATGAGGAAAATATGAAGTGATACCTTTTATTAATGCATGCATTGTAGGCTTTGAAAGAAAAAGAACTCGGTAATGTGGCGTATAAACAACGGAATTTCGATGAAGCAATAAAGCATTATGATAAAGCTATCGAGCTTGATCCTGCGAGTATTGTTTACTATAACAATAAAGCTGGTAGAATTTATTTGAAATTGTTTAAAACATAAAAAATAACTTTTTTGATTTTTCCTTGATTGCTTCTAGTAATACTTTTTAGCGCTGCAGTTAGCGAATATAATTTTATTTATGTCTTTGAAAAATTTTTGACTGGTCTTTTCTAATATCCTCTGTACTATAGTTCGGCAAGTTATTGTAACAATTCATAATCTCTTCGATGGACAATCCATTGAAAGAAAAAATTAATATTCACATTACTTTGGATTAGATAATAGAAATTATATTCATTATTATAGCGGTGCTTTTCGAACAGAAAAAGTATGATGAATGTATTGAACTATGCAAAAAAGCAGTAGACATTGGACGTGAACAACGAGCCGACTATACGCACATCGCGAAGTAAATTATTTTGTCTCCTACTTTTATTTAGGCATGTAAATGTAGGAATGGATGTTATAGTATAATAATGCTCAAAGTAGCGGTCTGCTTCTAATATATACATTGAAATGATTTCACAGGGCTTTTTCCCGGATAGGGAATGCTTACTTGAAATTGGATCAGTTGAAAGAAGCACTTACCTATTTCGATAAATCGCTGTCCGAACATAGAGATCCGGTAAGGCATACTTTATATGCTGCTTGATTTAGTTTCTAATTTTATGATCATTCAGTTATTCACGTAACATTATATATTCCTGTAATATAAAGATTCAAAAATAAATGGGTGTTTTATAAGATATACAATTAATTTTTTTTTGTTGGACACCGAATTTAATCAGTGTTTTTTTCACATATCATATTAGTCATTTAGGTTTTTTGCCTGACTGAGGTACCAATAATAGAAATTTCATATTACAAAATATATTATGTGAATTTCAGGAAATAGTGAAGAAGAAGAAGGCTTTGGAAAAAGACTTAGCTGAAAGAGAAAGATTAGCTTACATAGATCCAGAAATAGCGGAAAAAGAAAAAATTAAGGGCAACGAACTTTTCAAACGTGGTTAGGTTTTTTTTTTGGATTTTAGAAGTGCCATTGCATCATTTGTATATGAATCAAATTCAAGTTCTTTCTCTTACCAATCCCCGCTGTTTTTGATATATCTTGAAACCTCTATTATTTTTGAATATTCATTGTGCCGCACTTTTATTGTATGACAGGAGAAATCAATTCTAAACGATGAGAAAGTATTTCGGATTCTTAGATTTTTTTATTTTATATTGCCATCAGAAGTTCTTTAGGTAAATATCCAGAAGCTATGAAACATTATAACGAAGCCGTGAAGCGAGATCCTGAAAATCCTGTTCTTTATTCAAATAGAGCAGCATGTTATACAAAATTAATGGAATTTCAGCGAGCACTTGAAGATTGCGATACATGTATCAAGAAAGATCCCACCTTTAGTAAGCTTATGAAATTTATGTTGTCTTTTATTGGAAAATCATGGGTATGCGTTCTTAATTTGTACTCGGAATGTTATTTTATTATGTTTCATGTATGTTTTGTTCACATATTTTTTTGCTTTTTCAGTAAAGGCCTATATCAGGAAAGGCGCAGCGTTAATCGCACTTAAAGAATATGGTAAGGCGCAGAGCGCATATGAAGCTGCTCTTGCACTGGATAATAATAATCAGGAAGCTCGTGATGGTTTAATGAATGCGATGAGCAACAATAATGAAGATCCCGATGCTGCACGAGAGCGTGCATTACGGGATCCAGAAGTGCAGGAAATACTCAAGTTCGTTTTTGTCAGATGGTTTCAAGAAGACACAGAGGCCGTACATTGTTTATTTTTTTGGCTACCTTTGCAGTAATTTTTTTTGGAATTTTTTCAGTCCATAATAAGCAGTCAATTTTAGGGATCCAGGTATGCGATTGTTGCTGGAACAGATGAGTCAGGATCCTGGAGCAGTGCGTGAGCATCTCCAAAATCCAGAGATATTAAGAAAACTTATGAAACTACGCGAAGCGGGCATTATTAAAATGCGATAAGAATATTTTCCATTTATTACTGCGCAGTAAATGTCCGCTCCACTGGAGAGGTTTTATTTCCATCTTTGTTGGATCTCTAGAAAATTGATTGTGGTTTGTGTTTCATAAGTATTGAGTAAAGAGTTAAAAATGAATGAAAATTATTATGTGATAATATGTTTTGTTTTCTGAAATGGTGAGATTTTAAAAATGTAGCTTGATTAAGTTGATATAATTGCTATGAGAGCGGCGTATCCTCGCATTCTCTTTGCTTCTTCCTTCTGTTGTCATCCTTTCCTTTTTTGTTCATTTTTTTGATAAGTGACTTCTGTTTTGTTTTACTATCTTATGATAAAAACTATTTTTTCCAATCCTGTTGTGCATATCTCAGGATTATTTACATTTAATACTGGAAATATGCCAAGTTAAAGACACCGTAAATTTCCTGGAAAGATTTCGGGATTGCTATCACATATTAAATGTCAAAGTGTACAAAATTACGCGTAGTTTTATTGTTTCGATTAAACATAAAACGAAATTTTATTTAAAATTTTGGCGGATTTCATATTTTCAAACATTTTCAACAGTGTTCGTGGTGTAATGGAGAGCAAGAACTGCAAACGCAACCGCTCGTATACTTCATTAGGCGAACAGGAACCGCCAGCCACTTCACGAAACTGAAAATTATGTATGTTCTGTTAAGTCTGTAAAGCAATGTACTGGGTTTTCGATGCGTAATTTAGAATTCACTGTTACCCAAATTCCCTAGAAAAATCAATAATTCTTCATCTGCAGTTTTCGGTTGATATTTTATTTCCAAAAGAATCCTAAATTACGTTTTGCTGTACAACATTTTATTCTTACCAGATAATTAACATAATCAGCTCTTTTCGAGTCAATCCAAGCTTGCACATCCTCTTCGTCGCTAAATGAAGCATCATGGCCAACAAACATTCCAAATTCTAGAGCATTTTTTGCTTCTGTCAACGAACTGGATTTGTCTTGTTGCAATGCTTTAGCGCATTCCTTAAAATTGTAGAACAAGAAATTTTTGAAATTTCAAATATTTGAACAAATACAATTTCAAACTAACAGGCTTATTTTGTATGGATACAGGAAAACGATAATCTTCAAAAGGGAAATGTTTCATCGGGTCAAATATACTGAATAATTAGTTACCTGAATGGGAGATATAAAATTTGTTAGCGAATTACGGTTTAAATTTAACAATGTTGAAAGTATTTTTAGACCATAATCACATAATCCTATGATGGGCTTCTTATTCGTCATTTTAAGTGATTCCTGAAAATGTGGCGTAATGAATAGATATTGTGTGTGTGTGTGTGTGTGTGTGTGTGTGTGTGTGTGTGTGTGTGTGTGTGCACTTATAAAATTCATTAATTAATTGATTTATGAAAATATCCGAGGATTAGTTAAGATCGAAACAGTGAGGTAACAAAATCATAGACGTGGAATGTTTGCTATGATCGTATGAGAAAAAGAATGCAGTATTATGGCTATTGTATTTTTTGTTTCTTTTTTTTTGATTCCTTGTTTCCTATTTAATTCTGTCCATTAAAACAAGAACCATTGGTTATTTTAAAAATTAAAATTAAAATTTTGAAATTTACAAAGATGTGAAGAACAGATGAAGAATAATGTAATCAGTAATAAGATAGTGGGAAGCCGTCTCTAAAAGTACCCCCAAAAAAATTTTTAATTATCCAAGTTTAATTAAAATGTTAATTTAGTGCCGAAATAATTAAAAATGTCGATTTAATTGACAATTAAAATGTTAATTGTTAATTATATTGAAAAGATTAATATTATTGCTACTATCATAAAAGTTTTTATCTGTTGGAGAAGACTAGGATTACGATTACAATCTCGAATTAAACAAATTGATTTGAATTAGCTCAAGTTAAGAAGAATGTGAAAATTTAAAGGAATGAATTACTTGAAGTAGTAGAATTCTTGGTAAATGATCCATATTACCAATATTATGATTTGTTCGAGTGTACCTGAACTATGTATACTTAAATCTTTTAAAATCCTTTATATTTCAAAATTTTGAAAATAACAGAAAGTAATTAATTCTGAATGTTTGCGCAATAATGAAATTTTGACGCATTAAATTCGTACTTGCACAATAGAATAAATTCACTTAAATCATCGCTAATCGCCTCAATACCGTTCAATTGAAATGATTTCAATGCACAGACAAGTTGTAATAAAATGAAGCATATCATTTGTTCGTATTTTTCATTGGCATTCTAAAATTGCAAAATTTTTAAATTAAAATTGAGAGTGAGAAAAAACACAGAAATAACAAATGAATAAACCAAAGATCAAATCGTCATTTTTACCGGATTATCACATTTTATGCAAACTTTACTGATAAAAAGTAAAGTTTTGTTAAAGTATCATAACTTTAAGATTTGGAATTATGGATAAAATCAAAATGAACGAAACATGAAAGGGACTGAGTAATGATATATTAAATGAATTTCATTTACTATGAAATAATTAGCATTTACTATGAATTTCATTTACCACGAAATTCAACTCGAACAGGGTATACAAGTATTCAAGGTCACGGATTACATCGAAATGATTCATCGAAAAGTTTGAAACAAACCAAAAGTTTTAATATGCTGTTGGAAATAATTAAATTATTGATCGGAAGAGAATTGAAAGTGAAAAAGTAATGATATATTAAATAATAATGATTTTTATTAATTACTTGTCGATAATTAGCAGCAAATGATCCGAATGTGAACAAATTATATCGTGGAATAATTAAAAAGCGATATTTTTGATTATTTCGTTGTTGCAGAGTACCTCGAAATATACGTTGCTCCTGCAAAGATTGCAGCTAATTTTCTAAGTAGCTAAATTAAACATTAATTGATAGATCTAATTTAATGGCGATAAATTATCCCAACAATTCAGAATAACTCCAATAATTCTTTATTTCATTTTTGGTACTTTTAAAATACATCGTTGAAAATATAAATTAATTATTTAAACTTAAATAAAAACTAAAAACTCTTATGAATTTCATGTAGATATTTTATAGCACAAAGTGAAATTTAAATTATGGAGGTTGCAAAAAAACTGTACCTCATTTTGTTTTGTTTTAATTTCTACAAGTGTTGGCGGATTCCATATGTTTCCAACCGAAAGGTCAAGTTTCACTGGATTGGGATGAATGCTTACAGGTTCAGCCTACAATAAAATTAAAATACGCACTATATTTGATTACTATATAATCCATATTACGTAACGTTTACAATTATTTCTGTCTTACTATCACGTTGATTGCCGAACTGAGAAAGCCATCATGTGGTAAAAATGCATTAAAGAAATGTGTGGAACATTTCGAGAAGATCGGTATCATTGATTCGAAAATTAAGTCATCCAATTTCAACCTAAAATTATTAAATTTCAAGAATTTTTCATGTAATTACCTGGAGATGACTTTTTTTTCGAATTGAAACATTTCAAAATATTGTTTCCTAAAATTTTCGTTATTTAATTTTAGAAAGTTTTCATTTTGCAGCGGGATAATTCGTACAATTTGAAAATTTTAAATTCAAATAAATATGTATTACTTTTGCAGATTTGCTTTTGATATCATTGAAGTACGATTTAGGAAAAATTTGGTTAGATGTAATGAAGCATATTCTAATATTTCAAGATGATTTGAAGTCATCTGCAAAAGCTGATAATGCATAAAATTATTCTGGAATTGTCTCATCTGAAATTCAGTTCAGATTAATTTTAATGTGATAATTAATTATTGATTTTCAACAATAAGATGATCTAATGGTTTTCATTCGTGGCACACTTTTAACGACATCATATGACACTTATGATAATATCAGATAATATACGCTAAGATGCTAATAGCGTAAACCAATTTGACCTGCTTATAGAGTCCGATAACAGATGCCGTCGAATCATTGTCTTCCGTTTCACTGCTGATATTTCGATTCATTGTTCGCGATTCCGATAGCGGTATTAATGACGCATTTGATGACATTGACATCTGTGCAGGTGGTGCAAACTTCTTGTAGCTTTCTGTTGAAGCACATCTGATAATGCAACCTAAAGAAAATCGTTTTGTCAAACGCGTTCAACAAAACTTGTAAATAAACCACTTTTTTTCTAATTTGCAATTAATAGAAAAAACAATTTTCAATAATAAATTTTTAAAAATATTTCGTTAGCATTTGCAACTTTAAAAATTTTCAAAATTTGAAAGATCGTGTAATTATTTGAATTACTATTAAAATAATTTTTATATTATTTTATTCAATCATCCGATCATTTCAATTCAAATTTTTGCATTCATAGTTCCAATGTTTTTTGAATAAATTGAGCAGCAAAAAAAAAGAAAGAAACAAAACTGATACAACCGTGAGAGGAGGATGATGTGCCGTCAGTTAAATTTTTTTGGGCATCAATTTCTCGAATTGGTCCAGAATGATTGGTACTTTGAGCATAACGAAATTCTCGACGCATCATTGGTTCATTTCGGTGGGAACAATTATCGATGAATGCTCGTTGCTTCATACTTACCAACTAAAAGACAATTTATATTAATTAATTATAAAGAAATTTGCTAAAATATTTTCAAATTAAGTATTTGAATATTTTGAAATGTTTTTAAAATTCTACGAACTCACTCTTAAATTGTTAGTTCCATTTGGCGGCTTATGAGAGGATGATATTTGTGATGATTGTGATATGGTTGATATGCCAGACATTGTTGGTGATCGTTGTTCCACGTCCATCCCCACGTGCGTATCATTTACCTTCATAATCCATTGCTTTGGTAAACTGTTACGGATATTTTTCCTATCAGTTGATAGAGATATTGTAAATGCTCGTAAATTTTGTTGCTGTAATGTGTCAAATTTCGTCATCCTATTTAGGTAGATTTAGTTATATTAAATTTAAAAATTTTGAAATTTGTTAATTAATTATTTCATTTTAAAATATGTTACTTTATTCTTCGTCAATTTATAATTACGTTCTGAATGTGCAACTTTGATTGATTGTTCCCAATCTGGAATGTTGAATCCTTTATCCGATTTATGATCGTTTGCATTCAATCGAATTCGTTCTCGTTGCTCTTGTTGTTGCAGTACACGATCACTTGCTATCTGATCCGTAAAAAAAAAGAACAAGCATTAAATTTTTTAAATTGATAAATTCGATAAGAGATAAGAGATTAAAAATTAAAGTGAGAACAAAACATTTAATATTTATTCATCATTTCTTTATATCCATAAAGATGCTCAATATCGAAATTAGAAAATGATTTTATAAAAGTATACCTGAAATTTATTTAAAATATTTTTAAAATTTTTTGATCGTAATAAATCATCCACTTTCTTTTCCACTGTCATCGGTAACTCTCTGCAATGAATTCAAAGAAAAATTGCGGAAATTCTCCATGCAGCATCAATTTCACATTGTTCATCCAAAAGAAAATAATATTTGTTATATCGGTAATTTTAGCTTAAATGTCGCATAGATATCAAATAGCATCACCATCAAATTTTGAAACAGAACAAAATACAAAAATTGCAAATGATAAAACTGATGAGTGAATAATGTTTATAAATATCGATATAATTCAAACAGTATGTCAATTATTTTTAATTATTGAAATGGTAGCGTACGTCAGTTATGGTCATTTAAGACATACGCAACTAATGATGGTTATCTCTCAATAGGATTGCAGATGAAACAAATGTAACTTAGTAACATTAGTAAAAGATTAATTTGAAATTAATTTAAAAATAATAAATATTTGCTTTTTATCTCACCTGAATCCAAATTCCGAACATGTTACTTTTGTTGATCGCTGTTGCGCTATCATACCTTCTTGCTTGCCATCAATTCTATTTACTTTCACTGTTTGTGCTACACCATTCTGATAGAAATATGACTTGAAGTTTAACTCAAAATTTTAAAAGTTTAAAATACAAAGTTTCAAAAAAATACAACATATGTCAAATTAAAACAAATTTTGAAACTAATTAGAATTTGATTTAATCCTAATTTCTGCACTGTAACCGAACAAAAATTAAAATTAATTTTAATTTGAAATTTAATTCATCCTAAAATATTCCATTCTCTCTAACTGAAAAAATTAAAAATGAGGAGATCGTCTCATCATCTATTACTATTAGCTAGTTAGGATTTTTTTGTTGCGCCCCTTCTTGCTGCTAAATAAATTTCACAATTAAATTTAAATTTTATTTTCTTTCAAAATTTCAAACCAAATAGTCTTACGTTGTTATTTTCAGAGTAGTACATCTTTTCAGATTCAGTTATGTTTTTATTATAACATTGACTGACAGATGTTGCATATCTTGGCTTTGGCCTCAAGATGTCATCATTTGGTAAGCCATCGATAATAGTCGGTGGCTCTATCTGTTTTCCCGGTGGTTTCTGATTCGGAGAGTTTCTGTATGCAAAAAATGCAGATTTCTGGGACGGATATAGTGGCGCATAGCTGCTACGTTTCTGTTGCTGTTCCCTGTAATTAAAAGCATGTTGAAAAAATTTGAAGTTTAAATTTTTTTGAATTTTATTTGTTTTGTTTTTCTGATAATATGAATAACTCTTCTAAATTTATTTTTACACATAAAAAGAGATTAAGTGAATTTTCACCAAATTCACTTTAGGTTACATGTAAAGTCGTCAACTAATTCATTTTAATATGAAATTAGAATGCATAACATTTTTACATTCTAAGAATGAGGAAGTAATTCTGAAAGTTTTTTTCTCAAAATTTAATAAACTCTATTTAAAAATATTTAAAAATCAAAAAATTAATTCATTTTAGACATACTTGACTTGATAAAATTTATCAGCATTACTGATATTATAGCCAATGAGGTGATTTTGTGGCTTAGCAACAGGTGGAGTGGTGATAAAACTGCTAATTAGGGATTTTTGATTATTACTGAAGAATGCTTGAGGTGATAATTGCTCCTTTGCGTAACCGTGTCGTTTTCCAGGTGTATGACGTGGATCTTCGATCGTTTGGAGGAAATCCATTTCATTCAATTTGAATTTAAACTGTAAGAAATTTGATTTACATTGAAATTTTCTAAAACACAATAAAATTTATATTTAAAAACCTTTTCAGACACCAAACCTTATCAACCGAAATATCATTCCAGAGGTAATAATATTGAATGAAAAATTCACACTTTTTAATTTTACTATTTAGCATAAACTCACTGCTTTGTTCATTTATTGTTGAATAGCCGAGAAAATTTTGAGAGGAAGTAAAAATAAATGTAGTATAAACTTTTTTAATGAATAAGTTCTTTACTAATAGTTTGCTTTTCTTTTTTTATGGAAAACTTTGGAATCTTTATTAAATAAACATTTTGAAGTATCACTGAGTAAATAATACAGAACAAAAAATAATGAAACGATAACGAAATTTGTAACATTTATTGCTTTCTTACATTTATTCATTTTCAATAGACTTGAAAACGAAGAGAAATATGAGCTCAGACAGTAATTAGCATAATTAGTAGAAAAATAATAATGAACTCTATTTTATAAGTTCAAAAAGTTTACTTCTATCTCATATCTTAACCAAATCAAATGAAAGCTACAATTCCAATATGTTTGCGTTAATTTGAAATGACAATCCAATAGAAGAGGAAATTACCGCACTCATTCAACTTTCTCTTTCCCTTTCTCTCTCGCTCTCTCTTTCCTCTCTTTGTCTCTTTCTCTCTCAACAATGAAATGTATTACCAATTTATGACTGGAGAAGTAAGAAGGAATGATATTTGTTTTAAAAACAGTGAAAGGGGAAATGGTGACATGTTTGATTTGTGAACTGATTTAAGGAATCTCTCATAATTTATTTAAATCATTTCTTCTCGAACTATTCGGAAGATAATAATAGACCGTACGTTTCATTCATTCGTATGTCTTTCATATTTCGTAAAAAAAAAAATTAATTTTAAAGATTTCTTATTTGATAATTCTTATATTAAATCTAGGAAAATATAATTTTCAAAATGTAAAAAATTATATCTGAGACTGTACAGTTACAGTAAAACAAAATTACGATTAATTAACAATTTAGTAGCAATTATAGTAGTTATAATAGCAGAATTAGAGGTTTAAAGTGTTTATGATTCATAAAGGAATAATTTAAATTTAGCAAAAGAGAGTAGTATTTCACTTAAGACTTTTAGATCATGGAATTTTTTTTTTTTACCAAAAAACATTTTTTATTCAATTCCTCATTCGGCTAAGTTAATAATACCTGACATTTGCAAAAAAAAAAGTTCATCTTAGTTTTATTAAAAAAATTTAAATATTTGAATCAAAACCAGTGGAAATCCTGTAGCAATATAAAAATGCCTTATATATCGAGATCTTGAATTATGCAGAAAAAATGTTGCTTTCGAACAAAACTTACGTGTCAATGAATCATAACCACTCAAATAAAAATTCTAATAGCGAAAAGACAAAGAAATAAATTGAAAGAAACTAAGTTTTTATAATTCAAAATAAAATATGTAAATAATAAATATATAAACATACAATGATGCAGATATTACACACTCAAAAATATATGTACACGTGTATATTCCATTGCTCAAGGTATTATTTTCTGTAAATTATATGATATTTCTGTAATTTTTTTCATAAATTATGAGAAGATAAGTAAAATTTTTAAAATCACAAATTTATATCTTTAAATGAACGACGATATTTCAAATGCTAACTGCAAAAAGTTGATATAAAGTTGTAAATAATAATTCGATCAAGTTTCCAACGAATATCTACACATGAATTAATAATTTTTATAATCAATAATTCTGTTGAGAAAAGAAAAAGAAAATGAAAAATGATTAATTTATCGATTTATAGAGGAACGTCCTATTCTGGAGAATTAGTTTAATAATCATACAATATGAAATGAATAGATAATCCTACAGTGATAGCTATTGACTCATTATTATCATTTTTAACAAAGCTAAATATATCCGAAAATGATAAATGAACGATAGGTTTCATGAAAATAATAAAACTTAATAGAGAGATCAAAATAAATAAATGGAAATTTGGTATGCAAATAATAACTTGAGATATGTGAGTTTAATTTAATTCCATCTTTCAACATCAATTTTAAGAATTTATTTGCAGAACGGCACTAAAGTGGATACGTTCAATAGCAAGAAAACCTGTATTTTATTTCATTTTTTTCCATTATTGAATTATGTTGAGGTATGCATGTCGAAGTCACTAATATTTGTCAATTTTATTTTCTAAAATTTACTCTCTTATAATTTTCCTTTAAACTTTAGAGATTAATAGAAGATAGGATTTAAATATTTTATTTCATTTTTTTTCCAAACTTTAATCTTATAAATAATATTTTGTGATGTATAATAAAAAAAAAAGACCAACATGTATCGATTTCAAAAATTCAGGTTACAATTTCATTCCGGGATAATTTCAAATGTAAAAACTCTGATAATGTAATTATTTTTGCATGACAGTCGACAAATAAATAACTACTATACTATACTATAAATAATTATAAATCTAACATTTCTCCAACAAACTTATCTTTTCAATCAATTATTTTTATTTTACAAAAATTTTTAAGTCCGATCAGTTTCGATTTTCATTAAAGAAAAATTTAAAATTATTTGAAGAAATACGTGTTCAAATTAAACACCTACGAAATGCATATGATGCAAGGAATAATTGGAACAAAAAGATTGTTATTATTGCTTTTCTCCAA